TATTGATTAGCCTATACTGATTTATAGTTTTTTTAGAACAAAATTTATAGTTATGCTCCAATAAGTCAATAGCAGTATCCTTTGCAAAATTCATGAACTTTACAAAAAGCAATTTAAAAAATTTCATTCCCAATGTGAGACACAACTTAGAGCGATTTTCAGTTACATTTGCAATGGTGCAATCCACTTGCCCACCCATGGTCTATCTATGACTCATCTGAAGACCCTATGGTGAAAGAGGTGGTTTCTCCACTGCTCTCACTCATAGCCTGTGACTATTATCAGAGAGACTTGGGTAAGAGCCTTGTAAGAGCAGGTGACAACAGCGAACTGGCTCACCAATGATTGGATATTGTTGAGTCTTAGGTGATTGATGATTACTATACAAACTTTCTTCTGTAATCTTAACATGGACTGATTGGGAATGCAACCTTGTTCCCAGGAGCAAGTGTTCTGGATCTCTAAGTAATGGAGTGTTGATGGAAAGCTGTAAAAGTGAAACTATTTGCATTGAGACTATTTCTCAGTTATTGTGGCCAAGATGACTTGGTGACCACTAAGATGCATTTTTAGGACTCTGATTTTGAAATCTAGTAGATGACAGCAAAGATAACCAATTGGCAAGCTAAGCAATAGTGGAGAGACCACCTCGAATGCCCATTCCTGATAATGAACTTGATGTCTATAACCATCCGGGAGCCTTCATCCTGTGACTGGTGGAAGCAGAGGCAAACACACAATCACTGAACTGAACCCAAGAAACCCAGTGACAGAGAGAGAGGAGTGATGAGCAAATTGGCAAAGAATGGGCTGGCAAAACCAGCAGAGACAGCTGATCTGAACAGGGGAGAGCTCTTGGACCCCAGACTGACAGTGGGGAGGCCAGCATGGGACTGATCTGGACCTCCCAAATGTGAGTGTCAGCAAGAAGGCCTGGGCAACCTATGGGGCCCTGAGCTGTGGATCAGTGTCTATCCCTGATATACAAACAGTCTTCGTGTGCCTATAGCACAAAGAGGGATGCTCTCTCAGCCTGGACTCTTAGGGGAGTGCCTTGACCCTACCCAGAGTAAAATGACAGACTCTAGATATCCCCTATGTGGAAGGATTTGGCAATAGGGTGGGAGGGTGGGGGGGGGGAAGGGGAGTGGGGGAGGAGGGGAGGGAGAGGGAACTGGGATTGACATGTAAAACAAGCTATTTAAAATAAAAAAAATTGAAAAAAAAGACAGACTCTGATATCCCCTATGTGGAAGGATTTGGCAATAGGGTGGGAGGGTGGGGGGGGGAAGGGGAGTGTGGGAGGAGGGGAGGGAGAGGGAACTGGGATTGACATGTAAAACAAGCTATTTAAAATAAAAAAAAGTGCTCTCAAAAAAAAAAGAGTAGTATTGGGTAAACTATGTCTCAATATGTTATATTTGGGAAACCTCTAGACATGATTTTAAAGCACTTTGCCTTGAAGATTTTAGCTCCTGTACATAATAAAGGAAATTTAATCTTGACATGTGTATAAGTCATCAAAGCATTGTTTTGTTAAACCAATCTGTTTTCTAAACAGAATAACAGTGAGTTATATTTGACTTGCATGTATCTATACATATATGCAGAAGAACATGAACTGGTCATCTTTTAAACATAGCTTCCAGTGTTTTAAATTTTGTTTAATCTTGATGAATTCCAGAGTTAGTGAACTATTTTTTATTTGACATCCTGGCATCTGCAGTTTTGAAGACTATATAGCTTTCATGATGTTATTTTGTAAGAAAGTAGAGATGCTCATGTAAGTATTTTACATCATAGTTTCATTGTCAGTATAGACCAGTGATTTCCAACATTCCTAATGCTGTGACCTTTCAATACAGTTTCTCATGTTGTAGTGACTCCCTAGTCATAAAATTATTTTATTGCTATTTCATAACCGTAACTTTGCTTCTGTTATTAATTGTAATATAATTATACAATCTGAAAGGGGCTGTGGACCACAGGTTGAGAACTACTGGTATAGATTCACAATCAAAAATCTTCTAAGATAAATAACAATTGCTATTTATGATCAATATTCTTGATACTAACCTTGATATTCTAAAGTATTTTATCAGTTGATTCATTTATTTATCAGTATTAAGTAAATATTCACAAAATTTTAATCAAGAAAGTTCACTGATGATTCAGATGTGGCTTCCATCTTTAAAAAACCATGCTAGCAAATGAAAAGAAATAGGAAACTTAAAGGAATAATACTTTGCAATAAGAGATAATTAAAAAGAAGATTAAGCTTTGCCTCAGAGGAATTTTTGCAAGTCTAGTTGTATTTTAAATTAATATAAATAAAAAGTCAGTTGGATTATTCAGTGTTCCAACTATCCTAGATAAATGAGATTTAATATTATGCTTGAAAACAAAATATAAACAAATATGAAACAAATAACATCTTAAACAATATTATTGCATGCTTCACTAGAATTTATTTTTAACCTTTCTGATATTACAAATAATCAATTCAAATTCAAATATAAGTGATATGCAACTGTAGACACTTGAGGCCAGTATCTAGCTATCTAGAAATGCTTGTGCATTTCAAACATGTATGTATGTGTGTGTACAAGTAGAGATAAAACTGGCAAGCCTTCCAAAAAAATTGGCTACAATCTGACTCTATACTAAAAGACAAACTGGCAATATCAGAGAATGAACTGAAAAAATTAGAGTAACCAATCAGAAAAGATTAGCTTATTAGAGGCAAAACTTAAGCCAACTAAACATGCATATAGCTTTGTAATCTTTTATTTAGTGTTTTGTATTCATTAATTGATTTTTGTGCTTATGTGGCAGGGGCCAAGCACTTGCACGGCATATGTGTGGAGGTCAGAGGATTCTTAGTAATGTTTATTCTTGCTTTCCTTCCTGTGGGTCATCAGGTCATGTGGGTACTCGGGTTGGCAGGCTTGGTGGCAAGCATCTCTTCCTTCTGAGCCATGTTTCTGGCCCTCTTTTATTTTTTCCAGAAAAAGATTCTTTTTTTTCCTGCCTTTTTAAAAAGTTTAAGTTAGAAGCAAGCTTGTTTCACATGTCAATCACAGCTCCCTCTCCCTCTCCTCCTCCCCATCCCCCCCCCCCAGCCCCTAACCAATCTACACTCCATGGTGGATCTCCAGTCTGTCATGCCATCCAGGGTAGGGTCTAGGTCCTCCTTCAAGAGTCCAGGCTGAAAGAGCATCGCACACTGTGGCATGGGAACTCAGAGTCTATTTGTATGCCAGGGATAAATACTACCCAAGGCCCCATAGATTACCTAGGCCTCCTCACTGACACCACATTCAGGGGGTCTGGGTCAGTCCCATGCCTTCCACACAGTTATCAATCTGGGGTCCAAGAGCTCCCCCTTGTTCAGGTCAACTGTTTCTGTGGGTTAAACCAGCCCAGTCTTAACTCCTTTGCCCATCGGTTCTCTCTTGCTGACACTAGATTCCTGGAGTTCAGTTCAGTGTTTGTCTGTGGGTATCTGCCTCTGCTTCATCAGTCACTGGATGACGGTTCTGTTTCCTAGACTCTCTGGCAATGGGATTTTATGCTAGCACTCCCCTGATTCTAAAATCCATAAATGAGTGAGTACATACCATGTTTCTCTTTTTGTGACTGGGTTACCTCACTCAGGATGGTTTCTTCTAGTGCCATCCATTTGCCTGCAAATCAGAAAAAGATTCTTTAATATTCAATTACATCAGATACTATGTAACCAACAAAAATAGAGGTTGCAAATATAATTTTTGTTTTAGATATTAAATACAAAAATAAATTATTTTCTCATAGTTTAAGTAGCAAAGTGTTTCAAAACTAATCATGATTAGCACCATGATACTTAAAAAAGGTAAAAGGAAGATATATCCACCCCAGGATAGAGAGATAGTGATTTTATGAACAGAATCTGTAAAGTTATGGTCATGCTAATCTAACAAATCAGTATTGACACCTTTGCTTCTTTGTAATAACAGCAGTACAGCATGGCTGGAAGCAGGTCATAGGTCAAAACTGCCAGGACTCCATGACTCATTAGCTCACTAACAATCCCAGGAAACCTGGAGTGCTCCATACTGTCCCCAGCTCCAGATGAAATGTGTTACTTAGTGATGAATTTCAATTTGCTGTAACTTTATATTCTTAATCAGGCATCTTAATAAGTTATTATTGCCATGCTAAGAGGAGCTTAGAAAACTACATGGGCCATTACCTTTCTTCAGTACAAATGCATGTATCTCTCTCACCCTCAGAAAACTGCTTTTCTCTGTTTTTTCTTTTTTTTAATTGATTCTGAATGATAATTGAAGTTTCAGAAAACCATACCCATTGTTTTAAGGTAGAATGATTGAAAGTACTTGTAACTCACATAAAAATATAAATAATGGTAGAAGAATTTACAAAAATTATAAATACTTTAGGAAAATATATTAATAAACCAATGCAGAAAGAAAACTGTAAATGCTAATATTCAAAATAATTTTGTTTGTTTGTTTATTTGTTTTTTTTTGAGACAGGGTCTCATTGCATAGTTCTGCCTGACTTCAAACTCAACATGTTACCAGGCTGGTCTTGAACTCACAGAAATCCACCTGCCTCTGCCTCCAGAGTGCTGGGATTAAAGGTGTGTGCCACCAGGTCTGGCAACATTTTCTTTGAAAATATAATCACTTTGAAAAGTTTTTACCTACAGAAAGTATATGCATTTCTAGGTCACTTGTGTTCTTATTATATAATCTATGATTTATATTGAAATAATTACAATCAGTGACTAAACTGTCTTATAGTAACTCAAACATATTATAAACAAAGATTCAAAAAGTCAGGAAAAGTCTATCCTTTCTGTAGTTCCTTAAAAATTAGAATAGCTCAAGAATGTATAATTTTAGTAGGGTATTAACTAGAAAATTTCAGCTTATTATGGAAATAAATTTGTCTTGTTCATATCATACTAAATTATTTTAAATCAATCCATATTTTAGGTCATGACTCTTGTAATTAAGAACTTCTTGAAGACAATGTCGAATATGATCCAGGAGAAAATGTGATTTGAGTCTGGAGACAACTGTGCATGTAAGTATTTGGAAATTAGATTTTCTAGGGGTGAAATGTAACTAACAACTAAAATAACAACTTAATTAATTGCTAAATACAGAAAGTTTGATTCGAACTTTTCAATATAGCCACACTATTTTATAAGATGCGAGAATAATCCAGTCCTTCCTGGTTTTCAGGTATACTTTTCTTAAGGTCTTAAAAAGCAAGTCCAGAGTAGCTGACTGATAGACTAGAAGCAATATTCAGAAGCCTGCTTATGATTGAAAACAGAAGTAGCAGTTAGCTAGAGGAGTCAATGGAGGTGAATAGTGGAGCAAATTCAATGTAACAACCCATCAGGTCTCAATGCGTGTCATAAAAAATACAATGTGTAAAAGGGCCTTCTAATTTTATTTTGAAAATAGTTATATAATAAATGTCATGCCTTGTTTTTCTAACAGAATTGAATCTAAGTTCCTTGTTCAATGGCAAATATCTACTGAAGATTTATTTCCTGTGAAAACCCTTGTTACATTTTAAGTGTACATTGTGTTTAGCACCTATATCATGATAACCCAGATGTTTAAAACTAGTGTGTTAGGGCTTTGAAGAACTCCCATGGAAGGCCTTGCCCTCCCTGGGGAGCAGAAAGGGGATGGGATAGTGGGTCAGTGGGTGGCAGGAAAGGAGGGGAGAGAGAGGGAACTGGGATTGGCATGTAAAACACGCTTGTTTCTAATTTAAATAAAAAACTAGTGCATTAGAGTATATATATTAGGAAGTAAGCTTATAGCCTCAGCCCAGTGGAGTCGGTCTCAGTATTCAGCTGACACATGTTGTGTGAAAGGCCATTTTCACCAGCATAGGATGTGGTCTTATATTAGAAATACAGTAGTATTGTTAATAATGGTCATCCCCCACAGCCTTGTTTCAATAGTACAGATGACTGAGAATCTTTTTACTTCCTGATTTAAAAGAATTAATCTCTGTCTAAACTATTTTTCTTATTGTTTTAACAAAAATGCCCATCAGGAAACAATCTTAAAGGAAGAGGGTTTGCTTTTGCTCACAATTTGAGAGTAGAGTCTGTTTTGCCAAAGAAGTACTGGCAGTAGGGATTTAAACTATTTGGTTACTTTGTGTCTACAGTCAAGAAGCAGACATCAATAGATGTCTGTTTTGTCTTTGTTTATTTAATCCATGATCACAGGCCACAGAATGCTTCTCCACACAGTTAACATAGGGCTTCCCACATCAATTAACCCATCCAGATAATTCCTCATAGTCAAACCCAGAGGTTAACATTAAAAATAAATAAATTTGTTTATTTCTTTATTTTACATCCTGGTCGAAGTTTTTCCTCCTTCTTCTCTTCCCAGTCCCTTCCCCCAATCCCTCCTCTGTTCCCAATCCCCAATCCACTTCTTCACCATTTCTGTCTAAGGAAAGGACAGGTCTCCCATGAGTTTCAACAAAACAGCACATCATGTTGCAGTAAGACTAAGCATCTCCCCATGTATTAAGACTGAGCAAAGAGATTCACTATGAGGAGTAGTATCCCGAAAGCCTGTAAAAGAATAGGAGACAGCCCCTGTTCCCACAGTTAGGAGTCCCATAAGAGGACCAATCTACACAACTGTAACATATATGCAGAGGGTCTTGGTCAGTCTCATGCAGACTCCCTGGTTGTCTTTTCAGTCCCCAGAAGCTAATTTAATGAGGATGATTACTCACAGATGTGTCTGGAGGCTTGTTTTCTAGGTGATTTAAAACCCATCCATTGATAATCAGTATTTTTAACACAAATGTAAACACAATTTTCTATGGTGAAGAATTGAAATTTCTTTTCCTTCCTTCCTTCCTTCCTTCCTTCCTTCCTTCCTTCCTTCATTCTTTCTTTCTTTCTACAGAGTTTCCTTGTTAGACAGTCCTGGCTGTCCTAGAACTCACTTTGTAGGCAATCCTGGCCTCGAACTCCCAGAGATCTACCTGCCTCTGCCTCCCAAATGAGCCACCAGAAACTTCATGCTTATGTTATTTGAATTTTAAATCTCAAAAAATTGGTCTGAGAATAAATTTCCTTTGCTAAATTGAAGTCAGAAAGTTACAGATAAATTTAATAATTATAAGAAATTAAGACAAATCTAAACGATAAATGTAAAAGATGGTCATGTAAAGCTGATTATGTTTGTAGTTAAATAGTTTTATTCCAATTTTGGTAAAGGCAAAGTAAGCAAGATACTTTCTAATTATACACAAAAATATATATGCGAAATATTTTATTTGTAAGCAAATTAAACTAGAATATATTTCACTAAACTTTGTTATATTTTAAGCCATAATGGTCTCAATATTTTTAGGACTATTAATCAAATTCTTAGAATTAGTGTAGAATTATAACAGATATTTTCTTTTGAAACATATTGATTTCATGAGTATTGAATTTTATTTATTTCATTTTTATTACAGCTTGAACATACTGTAATATTTGGAGTCTAATGATGGAGAAAAAGCATATACTATATTTTATGTTTCTCTTCCCCTTTAATATGGTAAGTATTTATCCTACCTTATTAGTTATGAGTATACTTTACTTACAGTATACACCAAATTGATAAAAGTCAATAAATATAAGTAGTTATTAGATGAGTAAGTTGATTTCATTTTCATATCCAAGTAACACAGCAATAGTCCACTTATTTTCAGTAATTTTTATGCTTTGAATTTCTATAACTAATATGGATTGTTGGGTCCTTGAAGGAGGTTGGAAAATCAATGGATTCAAATGAGCAAATCTCATGTTAAAGTGTTAAAGTTAGAAAAGCATTGGGGTGATACTTTATAATAGTAGAATTACACACAACACATAAAATATTTTTATAGAGACACACAGATTCAGTTATTTGTAAGAAAAAAACATATTCTAGTCTTTAAAATGTTTTTTGTTCCACCAATTGATTGTCATGTATCAATTGAAAAACTCTAGGAGGCATATACTGTGTTTTGTATTTGTTTATTCATTGATTCATTAATGCACTCATTCAAATAGATCTTGATGCTGAATTTGGGGCAAGTGCATCTCCATGAGTATGTGCACCTCCATGCACATCTCTACGTATGTGTATTATTGATGTGAAGCAAGAAATAAAGTCAGAGGGTTATTGAAACCCAAAAGAGCTACATGCCTCCTGGTTTCACTTCTTATTTGTAGTCATGTGTCCCTTCATCTTGCTCTCTGCATCAAACTAAAGCAGCCAATATTGCTCTTCTTTCTTTATGTGAACGGGAAACCCAGAGACATCATCTCATTTAATTCTGTGCCAGCTAAAAACGTTCCTGGGGTGTTTCCAAGCAAAGCACTAAAAAAGATTCAAACAAAGGAATTAAAAACTTAAATGAGCAAAAAAAGCAATATTGCATTTCTGTGAGTACATGCATTGGAAAACATCCTCCAGCCTAAAAGTAGTCTAGTGTCTGCGCTTATGAGATGTTATCTTGGGTAACTGACTAGACTTCAAAGGGCAGAACTGTTTCTTCAGCTAATACCCTGAGTTAAGTGTGCCAGCAAGCTACATGGGTCAACACAAGTTTCCTGCAGGCAACACTGTAGCATTTTACCAATCTGCTTAGTGTAATATAAGGAACTGCTACTCTTTCCCTTGAATTCATCCATGGACAGTGTGTAAATATGTTACAAATTACTTTAATTTCTACAAACTTTTTCAGAAAAATAGTTCTTATCTATTTTGATTTTCTAATTTTGTCTTGGGATAGGATGTAGCTCAATCTACAGTGCTTGCTTAGCTTGCATGAGCCACTGGGTTCAACCCCCAACATTGAAAAAAAAATCAAATGACTTAAAAATAGTCATGACAGTCAGGATTTCATTTATTACTTTCCAGAGTAACTGCTGTATAAATGTCTATCAAGAAATTCAAACCTACCAGAAAATAGCAGTCAATATCAGTGCTAATCAGGTAAAGTGATGCCACCCAGCGAGGAAATTATTATTTTGACGTTACAAATGTACACAGTTTGATTATTTTCCATGTGATGGGTACTGCCTGATATCCAGGTGCTACTTTCTACTGTTTTACAATATGAAAGAGAGTCTTGGTAATAGTGATGGATACCTTGCCAACCTTCACGGAGCAAGTGAAGACACTGGGGGACTGTAAATATGACCGTTTGTATTTCAGAACAAGTGTTTTAGGTAGTAGTCAGCCAACTACCACAGGCTTCAGAAAGTCAGCAGTGCTTCTCATTGGCAGCACCCTGAAGGCTGTTTGAAACTGGATACAGTAAGAGTTTAGACTACAGAAACTGGTGAACACCACACACTGGGGTTTTCCTCGTGAGAGTCATCTAGTGATCAAGCACCTCACTGTTCTTGATGTTTTCCACCATTCTAAAGCCATTGTTTTACTCCCATAGACTCTTGCCACAGCAGAGCCAGAAAAAGAAGGCATTAACGAAACAGAACTGGGAGTCACTAGAAACAAGATCATGACGGCTCAATATGAATGTTACCAAAAGATTATGCAAGATCCTGTTCAACAGGCAGAAGGTAGCTACTACTAATTCTAGAAATACTTTACAAATATTTAAAAGGGTTATCTATGTGGGTTCTTTACATCCATTAATTAAAAAATTAATTAGTTGCTCACTTTCATTATGCATTTGTGAAGTGTATTTTATGCTATGATTCAACTCATTTTTTTAGTAAAATTTAACAAAATACGTCATACACTGGATTTTCCAGAATTATTCTTTAGAAGGTATAATAATACTTATATATTAATATTACAAGAGACAAGTCAATAACCATTGACCTTTAGTTCATGTAATTTATAAATTTATCTTTTTAAAAAACACCTTGCTTGATAACACTTGTATGCAGGTTTTTTTATAATACACATATGTTCATAGCAAATTTGGTAGCAAAGCTATCAAAGTCTAAATGTTTCTATTTTCCTTAAGAAAACCCTTTGTCATTAGTGCCATTCATGGAGGATCTTCCAAGCACCAGACCTCTGTCTCAATTCAGAACAAAAAAGATGAGTAACCAAAGTAGAGTTTCTATACATATCCAAACCCAAAAGAACTCCCTGGTTTAATCTGGGAAGCCCAAAGCAGAGTTAGTCTCAAGTATAGGGTACAAAACAGAGTTAACTAAAGGACACTGTGGACCCTTTAGATATGTCTGTTTTTTTGAACTGTCAGAGAAAAAAAAAAGATTTCAAAACATTTGGAAAAAAACATTTGTAATATACTTGTAGTTAGTCAAATAAGAAAGTAAAATGTAGCCGGGCGGTGGTGGTGCACGCCTTTAATCCCAGCACTGGGGAGGCAGAGGCAGGTGGATCTCTGTGAGTTCGAGGCCGGGCTGGACCGATAGCCTCCAAAACAATACAGAGAAACCCTGTCTCGTAAAAAAACAAGCAAACAAACAAACAAAAAAACCAAAAAAGAAAGTAAAATGTATTTGCAGTTAAAAATGACTCTGCTTTTAAAAAGAGAAAACCTTTTCACACTTAACACCTTTAAGCTTAATTTAAATGACCATACATTTACTAATATTTCAAGAACTAATTATTTACTGGAGCTGTACCAATATTTTTGTTGTAGCAGTGAGAAAAGTATGTTTTTAAATTTGCAAAACAATGACAAATTAGTTGATTTAGGATACCAATAAGATTGAAGTATAAAGTAATTGAAACATTGGTATACCAATTCTATGTCAACTGACATCCTTAACTCCTTGCAGATGATCTAGATAAAGGTTTAAGTACTAAAAGTTAATGTTGAACACAGGAAAATCTTTTTTGATTTCATAATGAAACAATTTTGTGATAAAATAGTTCAGAATTGATGCTTATTTTATCTTAGAACTCCACAATGCATTTTGCAGTTTGTTAAAAATACAAAAAGTGGACAAAATATCTATTTTTTAAAATTCTGAAGTCCATTTGTATAAAGACATCTATCTGAGTCTGACTCCATAGAACATAGTCAAAAAAACCCCAAAAGCCCAACCAATCAACCAACTAACCAGACATTGTGATGCATCGTGCTAGTTGACTTGTACTCAGTACAAGCCATGGTGGGAACTTGGACAATATGATTTCTGAAGCAATAGGGATGTTATTTGATAGACAAAAATTTATTTTACCAGTCACATATGATTGGAAACATTTAAAAACATATTTAAGATTACAGGAAAGAAAGCTGTGGTTGTCCTAGCTGCTTTTTAAAAGTTTGCAATTATGTAGAGTTTTAGGCCACCAGAATGATTATGGCTTCACTGGGGCTAAAATGATCTCAAGATTTCTGTGCAGATATGCTGTTATTTTTAATAGTATTTTTAATTTAACTTTTTACACATGTTACTCCCAGTTCCCTCTCCCTCCCCTCCTCCTTCACCACCCCAATCCCCCTAGCACCCACTCCATCCCCCTTGGCTCCCCAGGGAGGATAAGGCCTTGCATGAAGGATTTTCAGAGTCTGTCATTGTCATCCCAGGCAGGGCCTAGGTTCTCCCCCATGTGTCCAGGCTGAGAGAGTACCCCTCAATGTGGAATGCTATTATTAACAACTATTTCATGCAGCAGTGTTCTACTTAATACTGACATATTGCAGATTGTTACAGATTTTTTGATTAGATTTTTAAATACATTTAAAAATATTTTATTTTTACTGTATGTGTAGCAGTGTTTGCCTGCAGGTATGTATGTGACCACATACATGCCTGGTGCTTGTAGGAGCCGGAAGAGAGCATGGTACTCAAGATGAATTTATTATGTATATAGTGTTCTGCCTGCAGGCCAGAAGAGAACACCAGATCTCATTATAAATGGTTGTGAACCACCATGTGGTTGCTGGGAATTGAACTCAGGACCTCCGCAAGAACAGCTAGTACTCTTAACCTCTGAGCCATCTCTCCAGCCCCTTGATTAGATATTTTTAGGACACTGATGAGTTAATTTCTCTATGCATATATTGTAATATGAGTATATGTTATGTAAGCTTCTTTATCTTTTCATTGATGAAAATAAAAGATGATTATGTTTAAAATGTTAAATTGGTAATATTGACTAGAAAGTATTTACTTTAGAAAATGCTCAAAAAACTTTTCTTAACAATTTGGTTTCTAGTTGGGTGGTGATGGTCCACATACCTTTAATCCCAGCACTTGGGAGGCAGAGGCAGAGGAGGAGGATCTCTATGAGTTTGAGCCAAGCCTGGTCTACAGAGAGAGTTCTGGGATGGCCAAGGCTACACAAAGAAACCTTGTCTCAAAAAAGAATACATTTTTCAAAAATAAAATATATTTTATTTTTCCCTTTAAAAATTAAGTACAGGGACACTAATTAACAACTGTTACATGGCTAGTTAAAATAGTTAGAGATAACTTGATTTATTGAACAACCATTGCTTTGAAGAAATTGAATTGAATCTAATATTTACATAGAGTCATTTCTAAACTTGGTTTGGATATTATTAATAATAGTTTTTATCCACCAACGCCTGACAATGGCTACTTAGTGACAAAATCAAGCAATTGTTGTGGGTTTTCTACGTCTTCATTTCCAGGAGACTTCTATTAGACCAAGACACTGAGAAACCTCCCTTAAGAGTTTGTATTCATGGGTAGCTACAGAGGCATAGTAACCCCTAGTTTTCATCTCCTTTCTAAGGCCCTTACTGCAACAGAACCTGGGATGGATGGCTGTGCTGGAGTGATGTTGCAGCAGGAACCGAATCGATGCAGTATTGCCCTGATTACTTTCAGGACTTTGATCCTTCAGGTATATGCTGGGGTTTAATTACAGATCTCACTGAAATCTGTTTAGTGAATAGTGTGTTTATTATACACAATTGGAACATATCACAAAAGTAGTCTAGAAGGATTTGCAGTATATAACCATCTTGATTTTAGCTTTCTATTTCTGAATTCATTTAACCAATGAAAAAATTTGAACAGAAACTGTAATTTATTAAACTCTTTTTAAAATTTTTTCCCTTTTTATAGAAAAGGTTACAAAGATCTGTGACCAAGATGGAAACTGGTTTAGACATCCAGATAGTAACAGAACATGGACAAATTACACTCTGTGTAATAATAGTACACATGAAAAAGTGAAGGTATGTAACAAGTGTGAGTTGAAATTTGGTTTACACTTTAAATAGTTCAATAAGTACAGAGAGAAAGTAGTCAGTGTTCCATTCCACACTAAAGTCATTCCCTAATATCATTTGAGAAGAACAATGAAAGTAATCTGTGGAAAATCTGCTATTATGTCTGTCATTTCACTGGGGAAGCAATCTTGGTAGTTAACAGTGTATTTGTAAGTCAATACCTCAGAATTGGGGTTTCATATTTTCTCAAGAAAATATACCTTAAAAGTGTAATATAAAGGAAAACTTTTATTTCTAGTGGAATTCTAGAATTACCTCAAAAACTGCCTGTAGGCAACAGGATAAGCTCCTCAGTAAAAGGCACCCATCCTAACTGTATGTGCAGGACAGTTTCAGTCTTGTTCCTGCTTTGAAGCTTAGAGTTAAAGTCACAGTTAAGGACAATCCTCACAGAGTGAAGCTTTGAAATACTTCTATGTGTTTTCAGTGTCTCTCAGAAGACCAGTGTAGTGTAATCACCCAATAACTGCATGGTATTAGTGTATTTGTGTATAACGTGTGCTTTGCTTATTCAGAGGTGTTTACATTACAAACCCAAACCTAAACAACCAACCAACCAACCAAACAACCAACCAATCAACCAACAAACCAACCAACCAACAAAATAACCCACCCACCACCAACCAACCAGCCAAACAACTCACCAACTAACCCACCCACCCACCCACCCACCAACCAACGCTCTATAAATGTGAAAAGTAAATAGTAAAAGAAACAGAATGTTAAAACACATTTCTATAGATCAAAGGTTCTTCTAACTTTCTGTATTAAGATCTGTCTTTGAGCCTCAGATTTTTGAAAAGAAATTGAAAACTCAATAAGTAAAGAAAACCTTACCAGGCATTTAAATCTGAATAAGCCAAATCTTGAGTATCATTTGATTTTAAATATAAAATGTTGATTTTATGTACAGTATAAACTAGATAAAGAAATGCATTATCTTAGAGATTTAGTATGTGACTTCTGATTTCTTAGAAAGGAAACAGGACTTATAAGTATTTGAATACTCACTTGATAAATTTGAATAGATGTACTTCATTTACATGTTTTCAAGTATTTATTGGTTTTCAAGCAAGTGATTATAAGTCTATCAACATTTTTTAGAATAAAATTGATTAATTTGCATCTTATCTAATATAAAAGTAGATTTTAGATACAGAATTCATTTTATTTTTTAATCACAATTATAGACTGCACTGAATTTGTTCTACCTAACTATAATTGGACATGGATTGTCTATTGCATCCCTGCTCATCTCTCTCTTCATATTTTTTTATTTCAAGTAAGTATATTTAAAAATTTTTAAATTTGAAAACTGTGATAAATTCATGTTATATATGTATTGAATTCTGTGCTGACAAAATATACAAAGTATATATAACAGGATTAAGTTTAATATCTAAAGTGTAAAATTTTTATTATATTTTAGTTTCATGAATAAGCAAGTTATTAATGAAATATCTTAATCCTAATTTTATAAAGTTATTAGGTATATCTAATGTATGCTTTGATCATGCTGGTTTAGAGGGCAGGCCTTGTTTTGTTGGTATCCTCCATCTCCTCTGGCTCCTATGTGCCTTCTGCCTCTTCTTCCCTAGGGTTTCCTGAACTCTGAGGGAAGGGATTTAATGGAGATATCTTACTTAGGGTTGAGTGTTCTAAGGTCTCTCGTTCTCTATATAACATGTGGCTGTGATCTCTATGTTTATTCCCATCTGCTGCAGGAGGAAGCTTCTCTGATGATGGCTGAACAAGGCATTGGTCTATGAGTCCAGCAGAATATTAGTAGTCATTTTAATGAGATTTATCTCCCCAGAAGTCCCTGACTCTATACCTAATCTCTGTGGCTGTGTGGATTGTTGCTTGGTTATCAGTAACTTAACAGCTAATATTTAATTATAAGTGAATACAAACAATATTTGTCTTTCTGAGTCTGGGATACCTCACTTAGGATGATTTTTTTTGAGTTCCATCCATTTACCTGCAAATTATTTTTTTCAATGACTGAGTGATACTCCATTGTGTAGATGTACCACATTTTCTTTGTCTATTCTGTTGAGAGGACAACTAGGCTTTATCAATTCAGTAGCAATGAACATGGTTGAACAAGCATTCCTAGTAAGATGAAGCATCCTTTGGGTATGTACAAGAGTGGAGTAACTGGATCTTGAGGAAGATCGATTCCCATCTTCCTGAGGAACCACCACATTGATTTCCATAGTAGCTGAACCTTTTGTATATATATGGGTGTTGTGCACCATAGGCATATCTGGTATGCATAGGGGTGAGTAGAGGCATTGAATCCCCACAAACTGGAGTTACAGATACTTGTGAGCCAGTATGTAGATCTGGGAATTTCATCTGGGTCCTCTGCAAGAGTAGCCAATGCTTTTTGTCACTGATCTATCTATCTAGCCCATTTTTACAATATATTTTTAGTTTTATTATGCAATAGCTTATATTTTTCAAAACCCTGACATTTTTTGGCCAAAGATAAAAGTTTTTGTGCTTCTCGAATTGTATCAATCCAAATGTCTCCTAAAAGCAACATTTTTGAAACAAATTCATAACATCCAGCTCATCCAAACTTAAGGCAAGTTTCTTGCAGAGTCATTTTCACTGATGGTATCACCAAAAACTCAGTTGCATTCATTGGAAGTTTAGCAGTAATTTTAGAGTCCATTATCTTTTTATTCCTTCTCATTGTTCCTTTTCTATCCTTACCAAATTCAGTTTCCATCATTTCTTTTTCAGTTGGGACTCACTGTGTAGCCACTGCTGGCCTGAATGTAGACTAAGCTAGTTTCAAACTCATAGATATCTGTCTACCTCTGCCTCTCAAATGTTGGCATTAAAGGTGTGCTCCATCACACCCAGATGCTATTCTAGTAGTTTTAAAATCAGCTTCCTTTATTCACCTGCAGTTTTAAAAGAAATTGTATCAAATACAGACCTGACTTGTCACTCTCTGCTTAAAAATATTAGGTTGCTTTTTACTGTATCTCATATAAACACAAAACTATTAATGAGTCCTGCCTATCATATTTTTTGTCTGTCTAGTTTGATTAAATGTTTTACATATGGGAACTATACTTGATCATTTCCTCGGCGAACTCTTCTTGAGTTCCTTACTGAAGCTGTAAGTAATTACAGTGGACATGGTGTAAAAATTTGAAAGCATTTGAGAGATAATCATCTCTTTAAATTAAAAACCATCCCAGCTGAGACTCTTCAGATTAAACTGTCTCTATTTTCATGTAATAAGCCAAAACATCCAGGACATTAAATTTCTGAAGTTGATAAAGTTAATAGCAATTACATTGCATTCCAAAAGCCGGTAGTAAGAAAGAAAACAATGGTCTCCTGGAATTCTAGGGCATATGCTTTCATGCAATTCTGATTTTGCAAAGATGTCAGTAAAATACCCATCTAGTGAAAAGCAAAATTAATACTACTTCCTCATGTGAAAACGATCTGAGTTAATAAAAGAAATACTCACTGGGCATATGAGGCAAACAGAGCTGCCAAGGCAAACAATACTGAAGCCAAACTAGACCAGGAAAAGTATAGCATCAGTCTGAATCTCTAATCAGACTGTTCATTCATTCAGTTCTCAAAGGAGAAAACACTTTCATAATAAGTGGGTTATCAAGGAGGTTGTGATATTAAAGCAAACAATATCTGTTTTATTATATCATAAAAGTACAAAGAACGTTAAGTCATAAAGGATTAAGATGTACAGCGATAGAAGCATAATAACATCTTGAATACACATAACTATAATTAGGAATAGAGTTTATACAGTGACAAAGATGAGAAAATATATGGCTTAATTTAAAACTTCTTAATAACTAAACAAATTGTAGTGAGTATTCAGTTACCAATAGACCTCATTGTCACTCAATGTTTTCAGTGAGAAATAATATACTAATCTAACAAGAATGTTGGCATGGTTGGTCAGAGAAATGGCTCAGTCAGTAAAGTGCTCTCTGCGTAAGAGGAGGACTTGCGTTTGGATCTTCAGCATCCATGTAAAGAACCAGGAGCAGGAAACTGGTGCCTGTAATCCCAGTGCTGGGGAGATAGAGAAAGAAGGACCCTGTGGCCCTGATGGCCAGCCAGTCTAGCCAAATCGGCACACTCCAGGTTCAATGGAACATACTGCTTTAAAAAGTAATTGAAAGAGTGGTGGAGGAAGATGTCTGGAGATCAACTGGTGGCCTTCACATGCATACATACATGCACTTGTACATGTTCCCACACACATACAACATGGTGAGCACATTCATATACACAAAAGAATATTACATAGTCATTGTTCCTATTTTGGGTTTATATCTGGCCTTGAAGGCTTATAAAGTTATTTCAAAGCCTAAGAATATATGAATGGAGAAGTAATTTGAATTAGAATGAGTTAGCTTTAAGTTAAAATATGTAGCATCAAAGAAGCTGGTACTTGTGAAAGTATTTTGCATGCAAAAGAAATTTATGTAAGTAAACTATCACTGATAAGAATTTCTGGCTTAGTGTTTTATGTCTCTACCTACATATGTTTTATTCTAAAAGCAAAAGTCATCAAACAGTGTTTAAAGTTTAAGACTTAAAGCCTCCAAAATACTTATATATGGAAATCATTTTTTAAAGATGAACTCATATATTTATCTGATACAATAGATAGATACAAGCTTCATTCCCAAGAAGGTCAGAAATTTCGTATTGCCCCAAATACTGTCCTTATATTTTATAATTAATAGCCTTTTATGCCATAAAAGGTTAAGATATACAGTGTTAGAAATATGACCCCATTGAGTCCAAATAATTAGGAAAAGACTTTGGATAATAAGAAAGGAGAAGAAGTCAGCAGTGGGGGCACACGCTTTTTATCCCAGTACCTGGGAGGCAGAGGCAGGTGAGTTCTCTGAGTTCAAGACCAGTATGGTCTACAGAAGGAGTTCCATTACAGCTGAGACTACACAGAGGAAACCCTGACATAGAAAAAAAAAGGAAAGAAAAGAAATTATGTGACTTAAATAAAAAATTCTAGGAAAAAGAAATTAAAGATCAATATATAATAAATGCAATTATTTGTTATTTGCTAACATTTTTACTCTTAAAAATAATTGTATATTGCCATACAATTGAAACCTTCTTAAATCAAATGAGTTACTTACCAATTTAAGAAACTTGGTTGTTTGTCAGTACAAAAAATATTGAAAGACTGCAAAGAATTACCTTTCATGTACTTAATGTTTATACTAAAATTACAATGAGCTGTTTATTATACTGAACTTTATAAAAGAAAGCATCAAGCATCTTTTAGTTGTGACTTAGTATGAAGGCATCATTTGAATCAGGACATAATTTTGACAAGTCGAGCAAGACACTGTTTAAAAGCATGGGATAGATTTTAATCTTGATGTAAGCTCAACGTTTCCTTTCTCTAAAGTGAGCAATCATGTTTTAAGTAGACTGCTGTGTAACAACACTTTTGCTAGGGAGACACTACATACACATCTGCTCATCCTGGATAGGGAGCCCTTGACAGACCAAAGTACAGATACCACTGAAGCTCAACTTGGTGAACCAATGAGTTTTTATGGAGTTATTTACATGACTGCAGCGGCAATGACTCATAGACAGCTGCATCACCAAGGCCTGCTCCAGCACAGGCGACAGTTCACAAAGCTGACCTGTAGCAGTTAGTTGCACAGCCTGAAAGTAGCTCCACAGGCTGGAGATTTTCCTTTCCAGGTGCCTCATTTGCTGTAAGCCTCTTCCAGGTGTTTGGACTGGCTTCTGCTTTGTCCAGGCAGCTAGTCTGGTCTCAGAGTCTTCTTTGCTGTTCTTCTTCTCTGCAGTTAGACTTCGATCAGCCGGAGAGAAACTCTCAGCTTTTATTGTTTACTCAGTCACAGAGGGACCTAGTGAATCTGGTCAATTCCAGGGACTTCCTGAGGCCATTTTGAGTTGTTTACCTTTCTGCTTGAGGATCCTCCGGGCAGGATGGAATGTTTCTGTCTTGTGGGAAACTTTTACACATCATAGACTCACACAGTATCTAGCATGTATGAACTGCTTAGGAAATGATGAGTTATGAGTTCACTTGGGAACATAAGCTAACTACATTTGTGTAGTTACCCAGCCTTATTCCCATGTTATAGTCAACAGCAGAACTATAGAGAACTTTGAAATATGAAGGAAAACACTTCTGAGTCATAAATCAGAGATTTATGATAGTGTCATTGAAAAAATTTTTTTTTGGTTTTTACGAGACAGGGTTTC